ATTATTGCCACTAACAGTTGTAATCAAATAAACAGGCAATAACTAATCAACATATAATTGGTGCACATATTTAATTGCCTATTTGACTATACATAGAGGAATAAAATTTATTCTCAAGAATAACCATTAATAAATGAAAAAGAAGAAGAGTAACAACAGCAAGAAAGTAACAGATAACTAATCTTGACAGCTCAACAGCAGTGGACAACTTACCTGTTCGAAATACGCCAAGATGAAGCTTATATCAGCCTAAAAACGACTGCAAAACCTGTTAAACAATTTTCTGCATTACTGTTCTTTTTTTTTCCTGTAATCAACCATATTTCGAGATCAACAAAAAACTAAAAATTTTCCATTCCTTGGTGCTGTTACTAGGAATTCTAAACAGTTACTTGCTGGTTTTGAAAAAAAAACACACATTCAATTACTGGCTGTGACTGTCACTACTGCCAACATCGAATTAACGGAGCAACAACTTTGTGAGCCGTCAAAGCAACTTTATTGCAAAACCTTCATGTCAAACAAATCTAATGATCATTAATTTCATTACATCAATATCCAGGTGAACAAAGCCTTGTTTAAAAGTAACTAGCTTCTATTGTACGTCTAAATCTATTGAGCATGCTATTTGTTGTTTCATTCAAGCCAAAACCTGTATAAGACACGTATTAGCAATTAATGCCTAAACTAAACTCAAGTTGTTTCAGTTATAGTGTATCGAATCTCCCGAGCTGAAAGTACTATCTGGTACCAATGAAATTTCGTCTAGACAAACGACACAGCTGTACACTGATAAAAAAGACACATACCTGCCGCATGCTCCGCTATGCAACGTAAACTACGAGCTTCTGCAGTTACCAGCGGCTAACTTTTTTTGTGACAAAAATAAGCATAATGTCGGCGCCAAACCAACTCTCCTCTTTCTCACGTTTTACATTCACAAAAACTCGTATCATTCTCCGAAAAAAAATCTCTTGATGTGTACCTGCGACAACAAATAATAATCCCGATGCGATACCAAAATTTTGACCTTACCGCTTTGCAGACGCAATATTACGCATACACGTCCTGCACCTATAGCCTACTACGACCTGCATTGCTGACCCTTGACCCTCCGCATCTTATGACCTTCAGTCAAACCACACCAATTCCCCTCGAATTCCTTTCCTTCAAAAAATGTCCATTAGAACTCTCCCATGGGACGTTTGGCTCCCCGTCACGTCAGTTGATTGATCCACATCTTACTCTCAACAAATTTTCACAAACAATCGCTATTACTGAGCCATAATTTACCAAAGAGCCTGCAAAAAGACGGATAGGTGGTATAAGTTAATTCAACGACTACTTTATAACCCTAGTTACAAGCAACAGACAAAGGAATTAATTCAAGTGAAAACATGCGTTGTGAATAAGTCCTTATTTGTCTGGAACAGTGATGAAAAAAGTAACTTTGCGAAATGTTAACTAGACTTAACTAACTTAAACATAACATCCAGTACCTTCTAAAAGAAATTTGAAAACAAATCAACAGATGGAACGCGTTGGAGACTAATGAATGCCGGTATTTGGTGAATGTATACCCGGTGATGAACAATAATACATCCAACCGAGACTACATCCACGAGCACCGTATTCGAATCTCAACCAGAAGAGGGCGACGAACCAAAGGAATAAACCATACCAGAACTTGTGGTCAACGTACAATGGATCTAAGGTTTTGAGCAACTAAAAAACGACATTGTGGGTGTGGCCTAATTAGGGTAGGTCAGGGGTCAACCCAGAGACCAGTGGTCAAGAGAAAAAAAGAAAAAAGTGATCAGCAAAGGGTCAAAGACAGTTCTATTGGATGTTTACCGTACAACTGAAATCTGTGTCTGAAGACAAGTGCTTTTGGTCAGTGAAAGATAAAAAAAATGCTTTTTTTTTTCATAATAATGAAACTTCGCGTCCAATAAACGTCCTACAGTTTTTACCACCTAGCGAGCCTTCAAATAACACTTCTTACGCAACTGTAAACTATTCAGTGCTTCATTAAAACTCACAACTTAACAAGAGATCTCAAATAATTTTGATGCTTAAAAGCGAAGTATGCAACAAAAACTTTAAGCATTCCTTTCTTTCCAAAATTAGATGGAAAAAATTGTATGCAATACCACCCAACTCGTTCCTGTCTCTACCCATAGTTGCTTAAAAAAGCGGACTGTTGCGGCTTCATGAGATCATTACTATCTTCCTACTTTGCCCTTTTAGGTGATCGAGAACTTCCCAAATATTGAAATTCCTGCACGTATATTACTTTTTAAATTATAACAACGAAATTATTTCGTGTTGTAAATATTCCTAATTTTACCTAGGATTATAAGTCTTCACAGTCCCAATGAATTCCAACGGCTAACAACTCTCTAACACCATCCTGCCACAAGATAAAGAGCGAAAAAATCCATCTACTCAGACAGATATAAGCAAAACGAAAACAAATATTTAAACCTAAACAGTAGGAGCAAAAAAATTTGTTTCAAGTGTTCTTCTTCCAAAAGAAGAGAATATTTCTACAAAAATTTAGAATTTAAAGAATAAAAATCCAGAGGTCAGCTTTTTTTTTTTTTTTTTTTCGAGGAACACTGCAAACATCTTTTTTCAGTGTCAGTCCACGATTTAACAACATATCTCAATAAATTCAGGTCCCAACCACTTTTGGTCATCACAGCACCCGGCATTATTTACTGTAACAGTACTGCTACTACAAAAGTCATTATTTAGCGTCTACTGCGATATGAAACTAAATCTTGTTTATGTAAAATGATAAATTGAATGCTATTTCCAACAACTTACGGTCAAAAATTATCTGCTAAAAACAGTAAATGATAAACCAACAAAAAACCTATTAAATGTGAACATCAAAAGAACTGTGAAAAAAGAAAGATCAATAAACAGAACATAGCCTGAAGATCCTGTAAAATGCCCATCTTTTCTTCGTATCAAACAGCCTCCACAGAATGTCGCCTAAATCAAAATATAATTTTTTGAATGCTTTCAATGTAAAAGTAAAAAAAATAAAATAAATAAATAAATAAAGCCTTTACGCTTTGCTGCTTAGAAGAAAATGTTTCATCTAACATAACACTGTCTAAAAAGTTAACGTCATACATAATCAGCACCCAATATGTCAATAAATCATCCAGCTGCAGTATTCTCATAATGTTTCAGCAAAAACATTCAATTGCATTACAAAGTGAAAAAAAAAAAAAAAAAAAAAAA